GACAGTACTAACATTGAGAGAAACCCATTTCAAATAGCAGACTGCTACGAACGGGTGAAGCACAAAAAAAAAGAAAATTTTGTATTAAAATTAAGAAATTAGTTATAATATATCATATATATATAATATATCTTGAAAGTATTACTTAATTATTTCGTATAATAAATAAAAACTAGGTATTTTTTTAAATAATTACTAAGATTTGTATTGGTTAATTATATTTGTATGTATTGGATAATTGCGTCATGTTGTCCTTTTTTTATAGAAAATGGGTGACAAACTAGCACACAGGCCACCTGATGGTAAGTGGATGCTGTGACCCATAGACATCTACAGTTATCCCCGATTAAATTTCAATATGCAGATGCTTTGTCACACTTGAGGACTAAGATGGAATGCCTCGTATCCAGTAAAAAGGGTCTCCGTTTCTCTACACTCAACATACGAAACACAGCAACATCAAGCTGCAATTTTACGCTTGTGTAAACGTGGTGCTACCACGGTCGACCCGACCCATTTGTGCTACAACCATAATATAGCTGCAGCGTGGCTCTCCCACGTAATAACTTTATGTCATGTTGTGTCCTAACGCAGCAACGGCTTCCTAGTAACAACTAACAATTTAGAGCTGCGATCACCAACCTGCCTGCCTAACGTGGCAGCTGTGGCAAATATTCCAACGGGCGAGGCCTGTGTTCAGCAGTGGACTTTAATAAGGTGTAATGATGAATGAAACAAACCATTTGTTGTGAAAGCACCAGTCAATAATTTATTTACTAAAAATTCCTTTGTATACAATGATGGTTTAAATTTAAAAAATATGCAATCAAATTAATACCTTAGTCATATTGCAAAGATATTGGTAAACAGAAATCACAAATGGACATTGGACACACAATTTCTGCGGGATTGATTAAACGTTTATAACGCATTGTTTGCCTAAAAAAACTGTTATTTAAAATATTAAATTTATAGAACATGTAAGGGGACTGTAAAATAAAATATATATTTATGATGAAATATTTATCGGAGAAAATTTTCTCAATCTTTAGCTGTACTTAATAATTTTAAATATTTCCTTCGTTTATATCTTGTATGGCATGTTTTAACATATATGTAAAGGAAAACTGTTTAAAGAAATGTTATAAAACAATACAGTACAGCATTTATGTGAATTATAAATCATAGAAAAATCAAGGAACAGTTGAAGAAAATGTGTTCAGAAGCATCTCGTGTGGTTGTGACATTTTCCAGTTGCATCTACGACACATATTAGGTACATCTAGACTTCAAAACACAAAAACATTAAATTATCATTTAATAATTATACGTAGTGGTACTTAATTATATGATTAAACATTTAAATGGTACACGACTAAACTAACAGAGCTTTCGTTACTTACTCCATGATAATGATTATTTACATATTACGATCAGGAATGTCGAAGTATGGAAAATAGGTATATTATGACAATTATTTTATATCATTATATATATAACAGATATATTATATGTATATTGATGACAATTATTATTTCTAAATGTGATATCTAAACAAGACTAACAAACATTTAAGTGTAAAGTTTAAATCTGATGCATTAAATTACATGTTTCTGTCTTCGACGATGGCACAATAAGTTGTAAGTGCATTTTATTGTCTCTACTATAAAGCATCCGAATTTCGAATTGCAAAATTTATTTAAACTTGGGTATTTGACTTATTTAAAATATGATCACATGATATAAAAAATGATGAGATAAATTATGTTACAAAATGGATGAAAATTTTGAGAACAAATGTTCATATTTATGTTGGATCATAAATAAGCGTTATCTATCAAGACACATGAAACACTAGAAAGGTACACGTGACTATAAAAGCTCAACGCTTTCGAATGAGCTTCCTCGTAAAATTGTCAATTTATTATTAAATCTAATCCACATATATTATGTACTACAATTAGTATAAAATAGATTTTTCTACCCTAGTTACTACAGGTATAGTAGGTATAGGTTTTTACCGATGAATATAAATTTTGTGAGTATTTTAGGTATCTATCAAAACGGTCTAAGGAAGGAATGGCTTTTGCATCAAAAAATTGTTTGTGATCGCAAATATGTTCACATAACCTATAAGATGTGTATATGTTAACATTGTTAAATTTTACAATGAGTTGGATAGGAGCAAGCATAATGCTCATTTCATTAAATATCATCCAATATTTAGCTGCTTTGGTTGTTTACCTACGCTTATTTTGTTGCCTGACATTTTTCCAATACATTTTAATAAAAGAAGGGAAATTACACAAAAAATAAGTACTTATTAACAACTGCATAAATTATTTCATTCTACACTCTCATCGATTGATCGGGAAACATATTCGAGGTGGGTACTTCCTTAACCTGCTGTTGTTTATGAGTAATATAATACAAAATATATTACATATGTTATAAACTTATTTTTACTGTTATATATCGATATAATATTATGCTAAATAACAGAAAGTTTCTTTTATCATGTACATTCTAAATAAATAAAAAAAGTAAGTAAATACGAACGAAATAATCAAAGTAATTAGGTACTATCTACAAATAGTGAAGGAAGTATTTAGGTATACGTCAATAAGGTAAAAATTACGGAATAAGTTTTAAGTATATATTATTTTGATGTAGGTTTATATTAGAATTAGAATCATAAATTTAAAAAATAAATAGTTTTACATTTTGCATATAATACCGAATAATGTGAGTTTTTGATGGAATAAATTCACCAATTTATTTATTTTAATGTCAACGAAATCAAAACCATAAGCTATATACAAACCTATAATACACTATGATAATTGGTTTTTATTTTAAAACGTTAAGGGATAACCTTAACCACTCCTCTAAATCAAAATTATCTATCTATAATGTAAAATAATTTACTTTCTTATTAAATAACAACATTATAACATATTCCTTCCCTGTTATTGGACTTTGGCCAAACCACATTATTCTGTCCCTCAAGTGCATCGTTTTTATTCAATAATTATTATAAAATATGGATGTATATTGGTTTTTAACAAGACTATTAGTCAGGTTTGCTTTTTACATTAGCGTTTAACGCTAATTAATTTGCTATATTTTTGCACATATTTTCCCCCATAGCGTAAAGTGCATTTGATGTTCTAAGAGTAAAATATCCACCAGTAAATAAATATGTAAAGTATCTTTCACAGACAAAAATAAAAGAGAATAATCAAATTGTTATAAAACTATATTATACAAATGTAACAATAATTGAACCAAAGTTTTAAAAAATGTAAAAAATTATAATATTTTTAATAATTAGGCTCTTCTGTGAGAATAAATGGCATTGTAAACACTTGGAATGCTATAACAAATAAAAAAATGGGTAAATATTTTACCATTGGATATGGTCACACCAATAAACTTTTTGTTGGGGTGAGTGGTTATAGTAAAGAATATACTAGGGTAATATGTTTTAAAAGTATTGTCCTGCGCATTTTTATACGTTACTTTAACTTGATTGCTATAGTTTTACGTTCAGACAGTATATCAAATCCGACCACATAAATTATTCACAGATAATTTGGAGTATATATATATTTTTTAATTAAACCAATTAAAGACCTCTGTTGTAATTCTTGCAGTAGCTCAAGTACTGGTGATGATGTAAACATCTACTTTAACATAAATTTTGCAACTATTGTCCAAATTCTGTTACCAACTTAGTCATAAATATTGCGCTATTTTTAAATCGTTTGGAAATACAAAAAAAATCACATTCAAGGGATAGATTGATAATGGACTATTTGTAGAAAGCATGTGTAGTATGCCGTGTTACATTACATACTAACATTATGAACAACGTCAATACTCTAACGTACGAGTACATCTTAAAGTGGGTCCACATTTATAACCGAATCGACGCACCGTGACTCCAAACAATATTAAAAATTACTTAAAATTTGAATTAATTAACTCAAAAAAAAGCAAAACTTTTTTCTTCAGTATGGCCCTTGGTATTGTGGTTAGGTCACAATAATTCTACTAATGTCCGGTCTTTGGTCGGCCGAAGGTGTTTTGTAATTCTACAAAAATATTTCTGTGCATGTTCGAGTAAAAACAACTGTTATCACTAGCATCTATTGTTATACGTGAAATACACCCAATAAAATTATAAATACGCCCGGGATGCGAGGCACCGCGCCGCGTCGCTGCAGCGTCTCGCCCTTATTCGTCGCTTCCCGTAGAACCCACTCTAAAGGTGATCCTGCGAATCTCGTATATTGAGTGTAACGAAGTAACAATATTAGTTAAACAAGTTTGGTCACAGTTATGTTTATATGACGCACAGTATCTCAATCCTTATCCATATCAACCAAAGCAAGTACCGTTAATCAGTGATGGAGTATGAAGTATTGAAATGAAACGAATATGAACCCACCTGAGGTGTTGGTGATTGACGTTTGGATAACTTTTTATTTGGACTGAGTAGGCAATGTTGAGTGTTAAGAGCGGGGAATTGGAGGCGATGTTTAGTGCGCAACCAGCGCGTATATATCAGAAATTGTAGAGAGCGTGGTGAGATATAGGAGAGTAGTCATAGCTTTACAGACGTATCAATTACATGGTCATATATGAGCTGTAAAACCGTCACATTATTTTTTATACGAATATTGTCATAAGCAAAAGAAAACTGGGCTTGCTAGGTATATGCTATGTATATCAAGAATAGATTATCATACCGTGGCGTGGTTTCGAAGGGGAGCTGGTCACTGCTGTAGATTAAAGCATTGAGTCGCAATAACATAGGGTGGGGTGTAAAGCTACGGGTACGGTTACGTCAAGGGAGTGCTGTTCTGGAGATGTAGGGAGTAGTGTTCAGAGGACGTATGTCACTGTGGTTGTATGAGTGGAGGTGACGGGTCGGTGACTGCAGAGTGCAGCGCAGTGTGGGGCTGGGGGGTGCAGTGCGGTGGAGCGGTGGTGGTTCACTCCTTGAGTTTGTGCCAGTCGGCGATCTGACGGCGCGGCGCGGCCTGCACCTCGCGCCAATGGTGCCGCGCGCTGCCCGTGCCGTTGGCGCCAAGCTCAAGCCGACCGATCACCTGCACACAACACCATCACATTTATGCAATAATATATAACAAAAAAATATATGGGTCACCTTCCAAGGAGGCAGTCTATGAGGGAGGCCTTTAGCCAGCTACAACTTGGTGCAGCCGATTGAAGTTGGTGAAACTTATTCATGGCTAAAACTTTTTTTTATGAATAAATCGTTGAGAAATGATAAGCTATGAATAAATCAAATGCACCAAAGTTTAACTATGATTGGATAATGATTTCTTAATTTCTTATATTTACGCGAACACTACACATTGATTAAAACTACTTTTACGGATTTTATCGCGTTTAATTTTACATTTACTTTAATTATTTTTATTTTTAATTCCCGACCTTTCGGGTGCTTTCCAGCACCCATGGTCACGGGGGACTGAGGAACCTGACGTCCCGATGTCATTGTTAAACCCGGAGTACCTTCAGCTTTTCAATTATTGTTTATGGTCCGATCTATGCAAAATGAACTGATTATCTCTTGAGGTCCTGTAGTGGTGTGCTTGAGCTTAGTTTTAATTTTATTGATTATAGGGTTCCAAACAGGTGGTAGTACCCAGCCTCCTTCTCTATTGAAATTAGCATGTTTTTTAATTTCAATAGCCTCACGTATCAACCTTGGTAGGAATCGGTGTTCTTTCGCGAGGTTTTGTGGTCTATCAAATCTGATGTAATGGTTGGAGCCGTCTAGGATATGATCACAAACTGCAGACTTCCCGGAACGTTGATGCTTCACATCAGCTATATGTTCTTTTACGCGGGTTCTAATTGATCTTTTTGTTTGTCCTGTATAGGATTAGGATTAAGAAAGGAATGCTTCGGTGGTCTGGACACGTCAAAATAATAAATGAGGAAAGATTCACAAATCAAGTTTATACTGCAGAAATGAGTGGCAGAGTCGGCAAGGGACGTTCTAGGCAAAGGAAGTTTATCAACCTAATTGGTTATTTATTAAAGTTGGACCAAGTTAAAAGTACCCTTAACCGACGAGCATGTACCCATAGATAAAATGTAAAAGAAACGAGAGAGGTGTGGATCGTGCCAAATGAAAGTCCGTAGTCTCCGCTTATCCCTTTGGGTACGGTACGGTAGCATGCGTGAGAGTTTATGATATGTTTATGTTATGCACATAAGTTTAATGACCCGCAAACGACTACACCTAAGGCCAGCTAAACCTGGGTTGCACATTATATATTGGTCCTGCAAACGAGATTAAAGTGTTATTGAAGTAAAACTTATTTACGCACGATTGACTTGGGGAGTAAGCTGCCGAACGCGTGACGAAAGCGTTATGAAAAGTGTGATCGAGCGAGGCGACCGGGAGTTGAGTGGGGGATATAAGCAAGAGAGAAAAGTGCGCGCGCACATTTTCTTGCTCTCTTTCTCTCATGCCAGTTATTTTTCGTAATTTTATTTCGTTTTGAACAATTTTATGAATTAATATTTTGTTCAATACATTAAATATTCTACGTTTAAAGTGAATAAGTTCATGTTTTGTGAATTTTCGGGTGAATAATAACAAATTATGGAAGGAACCGATAAATATATATATATATATATATATATATATATATATATATATATATATATAGTACCCGGATGACCGAGCTTTGCTTTGCATAAAATTTACCTTCTTATATTGTAGCACTTTTTTTATTGCCTGAAAACACGGACAAAAAGACATTTTCTAAAAATAAATCCTAGCTAGATCGATTTATTGCCTCCGAAACTCCCTGGACTCCGACCGTTTCCGAGATTCCGATTATATATATATATATATATATATATATATATATATATATATATATATATATATATATATTCTTTAGCTCATCTGTATGTATATATACATACAGATGAGCTAAAGAAGTTTTACTTCTGTCGTGTGGTCATAAGCACACTCGTTTTTTTTATCATTCACTGGCTCACTTTCAAAAACCTAAGCCATTTCCACTTCCAGAGTGTTAAGTAATTATTATATAGGAAAAAGTCTGAAAACTACAAATTATCGAAATCCGCTAACGACATCGACAGGTGTTGACAAAGTTATTCTTACGATTACTTTTACTCGTAAATACTGTTCTTATTAGTACTTTTTTGGTAAAATATACTACACAGTAACAGTAGCTAAAATGCGTTTATAATTAATGCTCTTAAATTGTGGCCGTGGCTAAAATGAGCCAGGATAAAATCAGTCATCATCACCATCACTGACCTCGTTCTTGGTGACGCGGTCCCAGTCGAGCACGAGCAACTCAAGCGACACGTGGTCGAGCGAGGCGCTGGGCGCGGCCGGCACCTCGAACACGAACGACTCGTTGAACACCGGGTTCAGCGTGCGCTTCTTCACGTGCGTCTTCTTCTTTGCGATGCGCTGCCCATTGTACAGCAGGTACATCTTCACGTAGCTGAAATGTTTAAAAGAAATATTGTTCCTCATTGACTTATATATTACTAGCGTAAGGACCGGGCCGACCGAACAACTAAAACGGACCAGTGCGCTGGCCCTAAAATTACAGTTTAGGGCCAACGCGAATCGGTCGACAGTAGTGCGCGCGCAGGACAGATTTGTCTGTCATAAATAGTTGCGTGGTAAAAGAATGCAAAAATTACGAAACAAAGATTTATAAAAAACATGGGATATCGTATCATCGGTAAATAACCTTATATTAATTTTGTTAGAATTAAATTATTATATAAACGCATTTTTAAAGTTTTATTTTACAGTTAGTTTAGTTACTTTACCAAGATTAGGCCAGGGCTGGATTCAGACCCTCAAAAATATTGTACATGGAAATTAAATTTATACTATTTTAAATAAATTATATCACGTTTGACGTCTCATGTTTCTTTTTTCACATGTGCCGGGATTTTGGCGTCAGGCGCCTATTTTATCTATACGTTTCGTTTTTTGACGATTTTATTTTTATTTCTGTTTAATTTTTGTCTAAAGAACTTAGTGTAAGTTAAATTTTGAATATTGGTACCTAATAATATTTTATATTCAATTAGAGTAAAACGAAAAGAATAGTAAAGAAACTATATCTGCTTAATTGAATCTGAAAATCTGATTAATAAAATATTTTGAAATTTTGTTTGCAAACCGATTGCTTCTGGAGTATAGGGTTTTTATCTTGGTAGCCGCTCATTAAAGTTGTATCAAGGATCCAACATAAATGCATTGATCGAGCATAATTATATATAGCTAATAAGACGCGGTACTCATGTACAATACAAATATTCTCGTTATCGTTTAAATTTTAATATTAACCCTACGGTTAATATTAAAATTTAAAAGGACCCAATAATAATACAAATTATGGTATTTTCGCTTTGTATTGTTACGATATTATATATATATATATATATATATCATATATATATATATATATATATATATATATATATATATATATATATATATATATATATATATATATATATATATATATTATTTTTCTTATTTCTCAGACACGGAGGTTTCCTTACGATGTTTTCTTTCACCGCCGAGCACGTGATGAATCAGCGCTTAAAATTGCAATTACCAATTTCATTGGTATCGGCGGGGATCGAACCCGGGTTGCCGCGTAATGTGAAATTTACACGAGCGCTTACCATCTGAGCTACCACGGCTCTACGAATTATAAACCTACAAATTATAAACAATATTTTTAGTAGTAATATCCGGATCGAATAGAGATCCGAATAGAAAATAGAGGTGGTATTCATTCTCTAGTGAGAATGAATACCACCTCTATTTTGACCAACCCACCTGTTTATCATGGTAAGTATAGTTAACTGATTCGGGAAATACATACCTAGAGTAGGATGACGACTATAGGACTTCCCTAAAACTTGAAACTATATATCTACCCTAAACTTTACTAGTGGTACATAGCTGCCACTTGAAAAACTTTCTGCCTCATCGATTTGCCTTTTTCTAGTTGTATAATTAATAGCCTTTATAACACCAATTATTTAGGGTTTCATCACCACTTACCACCAGGTGGGATTGGTCAAGCATTGGTTAATAAAAAGTAAATAAAAAACGTCAAAAAAGAGTAGGTTATCCCCACCCCCCTAAACGAGTTCCTACCTTGTTGTGACGAGGGTCTTAATAGCCGTGGCTTTGTCACCCGCGGAGTACAACGTGGAACCCACTTGTGTAACCCGAGACATAGGGCCGGCTCAAGGTAGCTGCTCCGAGTTGGGCTTGGCGAGCCCACTTATAAAGTGTGTTGGTGTGCTGCAGCCCCCCTCCCCCACTGCCGCCGCAGCCGAAGTGACGTCGCGGGAGAGGAGGAGTGTTAGTATAGCGATGCGCTGCTCTCCCTACCTTACACAGCCGAAACTTGTTTGGCAGCAAAGCCAGAGACCAGATCTGCTGCTGGGGTCATGAAAGCTAGTGCTTCGAAGCGCTCGTTTTTCCTGGCCCCATGGTCTCTGCGTATCAGACTCAGGAGTTTTCGGGGGGCGGGGGTGGAGTTGCAGGCCGTGGAAAAAGGCGCGCATTGTGCTCCTGGTGCGCCTTACCTGAGAAAAAGAGAAGGAGAAGTCCTCCTCCGAAGAGTGCCAACCATGGGGTGGCCGGCGCCGTTGAGACCGCGGATGTGTGCTATAACGTATCGCCGATAACGTTCCCGTGGCCCTGCTAATATGCAGCAAAGGTGGAATACCATTGCGTTTTAATCGGTGTGAGTCTGACATAACCCGTCCTTGCCCCGGGGGAGCGGGTATGCGTAGGCATTACCCCATGAATAAAAAAGGTACTGACGGGTCGGCGAGTCCGGTGACGTCCATCTTGGGTAGGTTGCGTGCTTTGAGCAGCACGACGGTGAGGCGCGCGGCGGCCGGTTGCCAGCACAGCGACACCAGCACCTCGCCGCGCCCCGCGCTGCGCATCTGCCAACACACACCACTCCACAATCACACCCACACCATATTCGCATATCATACGCCTCTTCATACGGCAATTGAGTGTTCTCAGTAGCGTCTCGGAGGAAAAAAGATGGCGGTGTTTCATCAGCGTGCCTCGGAAAGCACGTAAAGCCGTTGGTCCTGGGCCTGATATCTCTCTGATCAAATTGTGAGGGAATAGAGAGTGCAGTTGAGCACAGATGGTTAGGCTCTGACTCTTTGACTAACCATCTCTGCCGGAGCTCTGCCATGAATTATGTCGCGACATTGACTATTCACTGCGACCGTCAATTCGCCTGGTAAGCATGACAGAAGCAAATTAAAATTCAAATATCGGCAAAACCTATTTAAATTATTAATATTATTATGATTAGGTAAGATAAAACAGTGTGTTATCTAACGCAAAAATATAATACAATACAACTTTTCTTCGAAAGTAGGTAAAAAGATAGATTATAAAAAATAGACAGATTATTAAAAGCTAAAAAAGGATATATAGTGTTGCTATATTTTTATATGGTTACAAACGACCACATAGTCCATATCTATCCGAAATTATGAATCAAAATGCAAATGCGTTGTCACCCCTAAGGACTTCGATTGAATGCCTCGTTTCCAGTAAAAAGGTTCTCAGGTTCTCTACACTTACTATGTGTGAGAACGTGGTCCTTCCCTAATCGGGCAGACCTATTCGTTCTACAACCATCATATATAAATATAGTAAACCTAGTACTAAATTCGCTCCGCTAACCATCTCCTTCCCCCTGACAAAAAATTCACAGACCACCGACGGGCAGCAGAGTCAAGCGCAATACGTCTGGCAATGTGATCGTCTCTTTTTGCTTCACGTGACGATTAAAGCAAGCTCTTCCTGCAACGGAACGCATCCATTCTAGCTATGGAATTTTACTGGATGACCCCGCAGAAGTAGAAGAAAGATGTTACATATTTCATCTGTCATACGACCTGGTTGTACACTTCTTGCAAACCTACTGCAGTGCACCTGAGACACGTATAACAGCTATATCCCTCATTGGAAATCACGTGGTGGAAAATTGGAGTAAGAATATTTTCTATCAAAAAATAAAATATGTAACCAAAAAAATTTATAATTCGATACCTTCAGGCTGCGCGGCTGTATCTCACGGCACAGTGCCATAGCCTCGCCACTTTGCAGCTGCAGGTTAGACAGAGGAGACACCACCTCGCCTATTATCTCATCGCGGGAGTATCTGGAAATATTGATATTTGGTTTATTAATTAATAAAATTTATTTTAGTGTATTAATATTCATAACAAACATATTTCGCTGTAATTGACAAGGAGTTCTTATAATTTTGGCCTCTTAAAAGTTTGATCTCATTTTATAAAAATTTAAGAGTAGGTTGCAATTTAAAAAAAATTAAGAATAGGTTTTAAGGTAAGAAAATTTTACATGTATATAAATTTACTGCGCTTCCATGTAAAAAAATGGTTGTTTTTTCTAATTTACTTATTGAGGGGAATTTTATTATTCTATATATTCTATTCTATTGTATACATCTTTAAAATAATCGTGAGATTCTGCAACGCTTTGTTTGGCGATGAGCTTTTGAAGTTCTGTACTAAACAGAGTTGCACTTGTGCAGACATAGAATGTTTGGGGCTAGTTCAGGTACATATACATTCCTTAGTAACGCTGGTATCACGTCATGGTTGGACCATGTCATCACTACTGAATTCGCAAAAGATACTATTCCGGGTATATGATATAAGAAGCCATGTTCCGATCATTTCGCAGTCGAATTGTTATGTGACCTTAATATTTTGGTACCTAAAGTACAATTAAAGGGGCTAATTGCCGAGTTGGATGATGTCGATTTTCCTTGCGAGTTTCAAGACTGCACAGATAGAATTTGTAACAATATAGAACAGAGACAAATAACTGATAAATTGTATTATAATGTAGTACAATGTTCTAAAAATGTTTGATTATAAACAAGAAGAGAAGGCATGTAACAGGATGGAACAAACATTGCAAGAAGGCACATGAGGAGGCTAGCCTTCGGTTCCATTAGTGGGTCGCCCGAGGTAAAACTACGTCTGGTCAAGTCTATGACCGAAAGCGATACTCGAGAAGTTTGTTTAAAAGTCGGCTCAAGTGGTGTAATAAAAATGAAACCCAAATAAAATGGGCATTCTAACATCACAGCATCAACCTTTAGTAAATTTTGGAAGGAGACCAATAAATTTAATCCAAAGCCGAGTGTTACAGTGAGCGTAGAGTGGGTTAGTGACTCAGAACAAGTTGCCAATTTATTCAGGGAGTATTTTAGGGTGCATTCTACATTGGGACCTATGAAGACAGCGACAGAGGTAGGAGATACTGGTTTGCCGAAACAAGTTGTTCGAATCATTGAGAAACAGGTTGCTCAGGTAGTGAAGGACATGAAGCGAGAAAAATCCCCCGGCCAAGACTCACTTAGCATATCGAGGGTGCTCGCTATGTTGTTTACTTTCTGCATGAGCTATTACCTGCCTGAAGTTATGATGTAAACGGTAGTTATTTCTATAATAAAGAACAAGATGGAAGACGACTCCAATTTAAGTAATTACAGGCCTATTTCACTCGCAACAGGCATTGCTAAAGTTCTGGACGCTCTCATTGATATTCAGTGAATCTTCAGTTTCATGACGCGCAGTTTGGATTTCGCTCCAATTTATCAACTGAAATGGTTATATTGAATCTCAACCATACCTTCCAGTACTACACTGATAAAAGCACACCCGTCTATGTCTGCTTGTTAGATTTATCCAAAGCATTTTACTTAGTTGCATATGGCAATCAGAGCAATTTTGTGTCGGAGTCATTATCGGACGAGTACAGATCGTAGTGTGGTGTAAGGCAAGGCAGGCTAACATCGCCCACCCTTTTCAACCTGTACATTGACCGAACGATCTGGTGGTACTGGAGAAGTAAAGGCTACGTTGTTTAGAGCATTCTGCTAATCGTTCTACACGAGATTTTTTGGTGTACTTGACCCATAGGCTACACTATGGGTCAAGTACACGAAAAAATCTTACGACGCCTTACGCATTTTATACAATAACGCCTTCAGTGCACTGATGAAACTACTACGCTACGGTAGATTCGGGGATGTTTGCGGATGCCAATGTAGACGGATTCGCGGTGATTATTCGAAGCGAGTCGCGTCCCTGATGTGCAGCATACAGTGCAACAACAGCCAGAACCTGCAACTGTTCGCCTGGCCGATGGATCTTGATATCCCTAGATTTAGATTACCTTATAGTGCATCTGTTGTGTTGTGTGAGTATTTTATGTGAATTTTGGTAACTGTGATAATTTAATTAAATATATTTTAATGTAATTGATATAAAATTGTTCGTAACGACATTATAACTTAGTTTTAATATTTAGATTTCGATGTGTATCTATGACTTGTGATATGGATTAGTTCCGAAATAAATGATTTTTAGTTAATTTTTTTATAAATTAATTTTAACAATTAAGCTTAATTTTCCAAGTATAGGCTTTAACTCAGCCTACAATTCCTATACTATCTTTTTTAACAATGCAACAAAAAAAAATAGGGAGAAATCGGAAGAAAATTGCTCTAGTGCAATAAATTTTTTGGGAATATGAGTAACTAGCTGTTACCCGCGGCTTCGCCCGCATGGTCACTGGGAAATGAACTATCCATTGCTTTTTGAATTGAAAGAAAACTGAGTTTTCTAGATTTGTCAGAGATGCAGCCATTAAAAGGAAACTGAACAAAATTGATTCGTCAGCCTATTTAAATGTTTTGAAACGCAGCGTATAGGAAAGCATGAAAATAGCCTGTTTATTCCAAATGGAAATGGGATATTTTTTTAATTAAAGGAAACTGAGCATTATTATCCGTCAGGGATGCAGACTTTTGAAAAGAAACTGAGCTAAATTGATTCGTCAGAGATGCAGTTTTCTGAATTGAAAGGAAACTGAGCCAAATAAAAGATCCGTCTGAGATGCAGCCTTTTGAGTTGAAAGGAAACTAAGCTTAATAGGTCCGTCAGAGGTGCAGCATTTGGAATTGAAAAGAACCTGAGCTAAATAGGAAATTTTGTATAATGTGTACACAATGTTATATGTTTTTCCATTCGGGGAAAGAATGTGGAGATTCTGGGCATTTGACACACGCGAACATGCTACATACAGTTGACCATGAGAGAAGCACGGTTTTTCTAAGTTGACCCCCCGCTACCTGTAACGTTTGCCCTTGCGCTTTATTAATTGTCATTGCAAAACTGAGCTTAATAGGGAACTGCAACCTTTTGGATTGAAAAGGAAGATCTGTGGGAATTATAGGGATCCGTGGTATAATAACATTTTGACCTTTTCCTACGCCTTTCAAAATTGTAGCACCGATTATGTTCCGTGCAAGATGTGTCACACGCAGCCTTGTCCCGTTACATAACCGAGGAGCATCTAAATTTTGCATTAGCATGAGTGGGACGCCTAATTTTAATTGAAGCTTTTGTGAGCGCACGCCTGACAACTCTAGAGAATTTAGAAACTCTACGGGATATGAAGTGCTTTGTTCTGTGTCCATACCTGTGTCTAATGACAAATACTCTGTTAGTTCTCCTGCTACTTCGCTTAATATATCTGAATTTATTTTGTTAACGCTCTCATTTTTTGGTGCAAGAATCGCCCTTTCACATAACAATTTGTCTTCATGCATGTTGTTCGTTAAATCTGAATAAACGCTCGCAATTAATTCGGAATGACTCTGTACTAAATTACAGAAATCTCTCGTCAATTTAACGGAGCCCTCAGCATCCGTTTCCACCCGCCCAACGCCAATTTTTAATAGTGTGTCAGCATAGTTTCCAGCATTGATATCATTATACAAATGCACTCTCATATTCGTAGTTAAACTGAATTTTGTCACCTTGTTCCATAAAATAGACGACTTGAGGCATGCTTTAATTTCATCTGCAGGTGTGCCCTTTTAAAATTTGGTAGAATTTGGCGAAAGTCACTAGCCAGTAAAACCACCATTCCTCCCATTACATCGGTATTGCTGCGCAAATCCTGGAGCGTTCGATTTAGTGCTTCTACAGCTTTTTTATGCGACATTGTACTTTCGTCCCACACTAAAAGTTTGCATTGTCGTAGCATTATACCTCGTGCACTATGTTTGCTAAAGTTGCAGATCGGCGATTCTTCCTGGGCTAGATTAAGAGGAAGTTTTAAAACAGAATGTGTAGTGCGGCCCCCGCTTAGCAGTGTGGCGGCTATACCGGAGGAAGCTACGGCCACAGCAATGTTTTTATCTTTCCGTACTTGCGCTAATAATAAATTTAACAAAAATGTCTTCCCAGTTCCTCCAGGGGCATCTAAAAAGAAAAGTGCACCATTTCCAGATTCAATTTGTCCTAATACTTTGTCAAAAACTCGTTTTTGTTCGGGAAGCAAGCGGGATACAAATTCGGCTACTTGCTGCTGCAAAGCTGGTATATCGTAGTTTGTTTCACGTATAATTTCATCACTTAGTTCATTTTCGGTTGTTCGCTGAGGGCTTATCATTCCAAAGTCGCCTAATTTTTTGCCTACCATTGCCGTTACTTTATCTTCAATTTTTCCAAGTGCTTCATTATAAATGTGTTCATTGTATGTCATGTTCGCGTGTGTCTGCTGTAACCTTCGCAAAATATCTTCCGCCATGTACTCTTTACATTTCTCCCACAATTCATGTGCATTAGATAACCCGCAAGATGATATGAGAGTTGCATAAAGATCCCTAATTTTAGCTGGTGACTGGTACTGCACAGCTTTCTACAAGGTTTCATCCCAGTGATTATCGTTTTCTAAAAGATGTAGAGCTTCACATGCTTCTCTATAAGTTGCGCATTCCTGACCGTTGACAGTTTTAAGGTCTTTATATCCTGTAGGACCCCGAACATGGTGCAGCAGCAATCGTAAACAGAAACATTCAAAATTAGTTACATGGACGGTATACACACGACCAAGGGCATCTGATGACTTTACACCGGGCTAATTTGCAACAGGCGCGCCTTGAATACGGCGTTTCCACTCCTTCCTAGATGTGTTCCAAGTATAATAGCGGGGGACTTCAGAATATAACAACGTTTTTGCAAAGGGGTCGGTTTGACAAAGTTGAAAGAAGGCTGTTAGTGTAGTTTTTGGCGGTGATGCAATTCTTTCTTGGAAATTTCGTTCGGTGAAATA